GAATAACCCTGTCTATATAAATAATCTTTATTTCCTACAGAAAAAGGCTATCGACCCAATCGGTCTTTCTGCCCATGAACTTACATTTTCTGAAAGTTGTTGAATTATTTTCACTGTTGAGACTGACACCAAGAAGGGTACATGTTTGTACAAGTATGCCCGATTGGTCTAAGGCTTTTTTAATTTGCCAAAATCAATGTTACCTCGATTTCTACTGACCTTAGAATCTGATGGCAAATCCTACTCCTATTAACACTGATTGCTACAATAACCTGCGTGGAAACTCTGAAGGAATATTTTAAAAGAAAGTACTTAAGTTAAAAATAATGAGAAACACATATTTATTTTTTTATGGAAACTATAGGATATTTCACCACTCAAATATGTTCAGCCCAGTCAAGGGGTTTAAAATTGTTACTACATTCAAACTGCTGTCAACGATTCCTTCTTAGCTCAATGTAATCTTTTCAATGGGCGATACGTGACAAACTTCATATAGTTCGACCACCGTCGATAAATTCCGTTTTCCATCTGAAAGAGAAAAAAGTTTGTTACACGAAGTATTTGTTTTTTATAGATACCTCGTGCCCTTTTAGACATTGGCAATTTCCTGCAGTAACGTTTAAAATGGCTCGCGATTGAAACGTAAACAGGCATCAGCACCTGAAGTGAAACTTCGTCAAATGCAAAAATATAAATTGAAAGTCATTAAAACGCCGCATAATGGACATTGCAATTGGAAATCTAATTTCTGTTTTATATTTTCGGTCTCTACGATAGGATCGAACAATGAAACTGTAGGGTGGTATAGAAAGGCGATGTTATTACATTTTTGCTTTTCAGTCAAGGATTGACGCATTTTCTTATAATAAAAGCAACCGTTCGATGACGATTTTATTTAAGGAACTCCTTATGTTTGTATAATTATACTGATAATTTAATCAAAATAATAACAATCATTTGCGAACTCAAAGATTGTGCTGCTAACTCATGTATACTTAAGTTTCCATTGTTATAACAAGAGCAAGGCAAAGTTTGTGAGAAAACTTTCTGCTATAAGCCATTGGAAAAGCAAACAGGTGTAATTCCGAGACCTAATTCCTAAGCCTAGACATTCCGAGACAACGTAAGTAAACGTAGGTATTGTGTTAAGCGAATAGCTTCTTTAAAGTTGCATTAAATTTGTAACAACTTTAGAGTAGAAAATAATTATTTTATGTAAAAAAGTTTGAAACACTTTTCAAACATTGTGCTTAACAAACTTTAAAATTGAGAAATTCAATGCGTGACGCTATGGGATTGCAATGGAAACTATTAATTGATTCAACCGGGACATTTAAACGCAAATATAAAATCTGAAATTTGAAAGTATAAGTTCGGGTAGTACAAGTTTTAGATTCAATTTCTTATTGTAATACATAATAGCAAAATCGAAAATATATGAATATACCGCAATACTATCGTTCGAAT